GGTGACTAGATTTCGCAAAATCCAATGTATCTCCATTCTCCAATCTGGAGAAATGCAGTAACAGTTGGCCAGGAAAGGGTTTCTGATGTCAGGAACAGCAGCAGTACTGGCACCGGATCAAACACCAATCTCGTTACAAGATGCAAACGCAGGACTAATGAATATCGAAAATAGCAGCAGCGCATGTTGCAACCAAAGAGAAACCAAGTTTCTTGCTCTCCATTTTGTGTGCTCTCACTGAATAGGTTTAATTGAGAGGACGAGGGAAAATTTTGTTTTATAGCTAATTACGAAGGAGAAAGGCAGGCAGGGGATATGTAGTAACGAAATTTGTCTAAACATTTAATCTAAATAAAATAAAACCCCTCAGCCATTTACAATGGCAGAACCCACTACATTGAGGTTGTGGGGTCTTACTCTCCATTTGGTTTGGGAGTGCTCCATATAACACATTTTTCCAAACATATTATCTAAAAAAGAAGTTTTATTATAAATAATTAATTTTAATTAACATTTTATATAATTTTAGTAAATTTTTTAATTAATATATTATATATTTTTTATAATTTAAAGAAAAATACCACCATAAACTAGCATTACAGCACCTGTCTCTTATACACAACTAGATGTAAAAAAGATAATAATTAATACCTTTAAAGCCTTAGCATTTACCATAACGCATAAGAACACACATTAAAAAACTTTATATTTAAAAAATTCAAAAAAAAAAACTATTTTGTTTTCTATATAAATTATTTTAAAAAGCGAAAGGAAAGAGAGTGTAAATCTAATACTGCACTTTCCCAGCAGTTACTCAAAAGAAAAAAAAAAACGCGGAAGTTGAGGGCTCATGGCACGTGGCATGAATACTTGATTTTTAATTCTTACCCTTACCATGAAAAAACTCTTAGGTAACAATGACTGGTTAGTTTGAGTAGAAGGAATTTAATTTCTTTTAAATAAGGCTTTGAGATTAAGTCTTGTAAATGGAGAAACAGGTGTTGGGAGATCTTTTCTCCTAATAAGATCCAATGTGAATCGATTCCGAATTAATTGAAATCCAATATGATTATCAGATACTAGAAGTTAATAAAAAAAAAAAAACCTGACATGGGCCTGACTCGAAATGGACTAAAAAATTAAGCCCAACCCTCAATCCATTCAACG